CAGTAGAAGCAAGACTTTGGAAATATTTCACTGCATTGAAACCACACACCTCTTTATTAATGACACTTCCGGGCTCTCTTATTGTGGTCAGATTGGCAAAGAAGAGTTCTGTGCTCACAGAATGTAATCCAAGAGCCAATAGAAGTTGATTGCACACATATGAAATGTATGGACTGGGGGTGGGAGTTTTGGATGGCTTACAAAGACGTGTCATGTTTCATCTTCTGCTTTGGGTTTTATGGGGGGCCAGCATGAAACCACAAACATCTACACGGTCCCTTTCACTACACATCATGTAAACAGAATCACGTTCTCATTCAAAACTACATCTACAAGATCATAGTGCAGAAAGAGGTCCGGGTTTTCTAACGACTTTAGCTCTGACTGAAAAGTCTTACGAGAAACTCAGTTGCTAATTAGAAGGTATAATAGGTCATCTTTAAGCATGAACAGTTAAAACAAAATAGTTAGTTTTCTGATTGGAGAGGTGGCAGCTGGAGGTTCACGAGCTTATGTAATGGTTGAGCTTTTTTTACTTTGAAAATATGCAAACATAAAGCCACATTCCCCCACCCCGACTCCAAATTATAGCACCCACTGCTAAGTATTATTCAGAAAGCTGTCTTTGTTTTGCATTCTGTCTTTCTTTTTTCCGGCAAGAAAATGCCTGAATGCTCGCCGATTTTCTGCGAAGTCCTGGTTGTAAGAATACTCAACCCTTCACGGAACCTGTGCCACCTCGGGGTAAGCAATGCGGCAGCTGTTTTGCTGTCCCACAGCACAGCTGGCTTTGAGCAGGAAACGAGGGAGAACTTCTCCCGGGAACACTGCAGGGAGTTTTTGGTGAACAGAATGCAATTACCCTAGCTGGAAAGGGGCCAGGATAGGAGCACACGACCGACTGCCGCAGAGGCATCGTGGGGCTCTCGCCCGTGTAGACTGGATTTTAAACAGGGGACGGAATGAGAATATAATGACGATGCTCTTAATCTCTATAAGGTAATGATGATAATGCTAATAACTCTAATACATTCACTGAGGGGTCTAACTTTTCAGGGTTAAGAGTGAACCTGCTAGATTCTGTCATTGAGAACAATGGGTTCCTAACAAAAGATGGAGTCACGGTCCCATCATTTTTGATCGGGTTCTTCCAAATTATTGGCACAGGTAAATTGATTTTCGAGCAATTGCTGGTGTTTGCTTTCCTGGTGAAAACTGGACCTGTGGCCGCCCACTTGATGGCAGAATGGATTCTCTCCAGAGGGTGTGTGATTTAGAATTTCATAAAGGTTTTTACGAAATCCATTTTCTCTTCCTTATAGTAATTTGAAAATCAGTGAGTGTTTTAAATCCCCAACTTACAGAGGAGAAAACTGAGGTTCAAAGAGAGCAACTTACTCCTCATGGTCATGTATCTCTAAGCAGTGAATGCTGCATCTCGGTCCCTAGGTTTCTTCTTTCTTCCAGAGAAAACTCAGATAATACATGTCATTCTTCCTCTCTCGGTATGCTAATTTATGTTTCTCAGCATATTTTTTAGTGCCGGATTTTAAAATTATGTAAGATGTAGTTTTGAAGTTGAAGACATCAAAAAGTTCAATCATGACTAGTTGACTAGAAAATATATTTGATAATAAAAATTCAGTTCGAAAAATGGATTACATAATCCATTTTGCTAAACATAGCTTGCAAGAATCTAATGAGAGTCAACTCTGAAATCAATCACTTGTGAAACTAAATTGTTAAAGTTCTTGTGAAGTAGTTTCTTGATAAATGGCATTCTTTGACAGAGCGTCTGGGTAAATACGGAGCACTCATGATTGATCCTCAAGAATCTTGAGTTATTTTTAAAAGAATATTTCAGTTTTATATTTATATGCAGTTGCCATGAATGGCAGACATGGACTCAAATTCCAGTTCCGCCACCGCCTCGGTGACCTTGGACGTGGTCCTCCCTTCCGAAGTGAGACGTCAGGGGGTGGAAGGAGGTTGACATAATGTGCAGAGCTGGGATGATTAAATGAAATGCATGAAAATGCTCAGGGTGACATCTGCCACACAGTATGTGCTCCCGAGCTTTAAAAAAACACCTCCCAGTGTTATTTACAGTTACCTACCTTCAATCAAAAGAAAACACTAGGAGAAGCACAGGTCACATCTCTCAGTAAAGATATTAATTTTCGTGTTATATCTCCAGACTTCATTTGGATATTTAAATCGAAAGCTGAAGGAACTAAACCATATTAAGGGCTTGCAGATATAAAAAATCACTTGAAAAATAGCACAGTAGAGAAGCATTTCAAACCATCAGTGGCCCAAAGCGCCTGAGTGCTATTAAAACAAAACAAACCAAACAAAAGACAGTCTCTTTCTACTTGATTGATTTTCAGGCTTCATTCTTTTATTTAGCTAATATTTGTTAAATACCAAGGAAGTGACAGGCAATGTGACGGGAATGTAAAAAATCTGTAAAGGAATCAGGATAAAGAAGTGTGGTCTGATCTCAGGAGACTCACCGGATAGCCGTTCCACAGATGTGAAGACAAATTATTTTCATATAATCATTGCATTTATGTGTAAGTGAGAATAACATATGGTCAGATCACTTGGAGGCCCTTTGAAGGTGCCTAGATAATTTTCAGCATCTCGAAACACCAGAAATCCCAAGACCTGTTCATAAATCCCCAGCTGGGAGAGGCACTCCTGTTTCCTCAGAAATTCTGGGTCTCTTCTACTGACTTGCCCTGGGGCTTCTCTAGCTTAGCTTGGAGGATCCTTTGCAAACCAGGAAACTTGCATGTGAACAGAAATGCAATGCCAGGCCTTGTTCACATAAAATCTGTGAAAGATACATGGGTCACCCAGGTTCAAGCTGGGAGCACATCAGAGCCGTCACCAACACAAGCCGGCTTTTAGGCTCTTCCTTTGGAAGCCCCAAGTAGTTTAACAATTAAACTGGAAGTGCTGGTTCATTTTAAAACTCTATTTCTGCTCTGCAAGACAGACAGCTTTCAGGGTTAAAATAGTGGGAAAATATCTTCAGGACACTGCCGGTCAGTATCCCGCTCCATCTCTTTCTCATCATGGCCGAGGAAAGGAAACAGGAGTAACAGAAAAGGAAGGGAGAGGGAAACAAGAAAATACAAATCTCAAGTCTGGAGTGATCGGACCCTAATGCCACCTGAAATCTGTGTCTTACAACTAGACATTGATGCTTCCGCCTTCGTCCCGCCTCCCGATGAACTTGGTCTCCCGTGTGACTGAGTTAGTGAAGAAACAAGCATCTACCACTCGACTATGTTGGAAACATCCACTTTTAAACGTGTCTCTAAATTTCTTCCTTTCCAAGGTACAACTTGTGACCTTAGGAAAACTTGCAGGGTTCATTATCTATTTCATTTATAAAGCTAGAGTCCTTTCTTGAAGTGCTTTTGGAAACTGTAGTAGTTCGGCCTCAATTTGTGAAATTATCTTGTTGATGCTCCAAACAATGGAGAACAGAGAGGAAGGAGTCAGATGGGATGTATTTAACCGACTCTCGCTGTGTGCTCTGGGAAATAACTGGACAGCCGTAGTGTTTTGACTTATGGAGTGTGGGAATGAGTCCCTGAGGGTGTTCAAGCAAATTCCTCATCACTAACAGAAAAAGGTTTGGTCCTGGTAAGTCACAAAATCATTATGAGATCAACACAGTTTTCCTACGATTTCTTCATTTCACGAGAGTCTTAGGCTGCAAAATTCCCTCTTGCTTCTCAGTTTAGGAGGAGTGCACAGCCTGCTTCCATTGCCTTGAAATCAGGGGTTGTCTTAGGGTTTCATGACACAGAGATGAGGCTGGCCTTCCATGATGATGACCTGAGCAATACTACGGCAAGTGGCATGATGACACAGCTGTATTTGCAAATGCATGGTACACTCAGAGAAACTGTGGTAGTTATGGAGTTGACATATGTAGGGATTATTATTATTATTTGTCTTTTTGAGACAGGGTCTCACTATACAGTTCAGGCTGGCCCTGAGTTCACTTTGTGTAGCCCAGGCTGGTTACAAACTCTCAGTGATCCTCCTGTCTCAGCCTCCCAAGTGCTGGGATTACAGGTGGATGCCACCATGCTCTGCTCCTTCTCCTCTCGAGAATCATTAGGATCAAGGTTTGGCATGTTACTGTGGAATTTCTGTTCAGATATGGCGAACGGGGGAAATGAAATCTGACTTGGAAACAAAACGGGTAAAACGTGCACAGTTTACATAACCTCTTCTGTGTCACTAGAAGAGATTGTGCCTGGCTGGCGATGGAGCTTTGAAAAGGCCGTGCAGCCTCTGTCCATCTCCCCGCCCCTTCTTCCTGCCCCTTCCGGGGCCCCCAGGGTGGAGAGCTGGGGGCTGCCTGGGCACCAGGTGGTAGGCCACGCCCTTGCCCTTGCACTCTTGCCTTGAGAGTGCACCATATTTTCCATTTCTTCAACTTGCACTGGCAATCTGTTTTAGCATAATTTACACATTTACACATTTTAGAGAGCAAGGCACAGTCATGCAACTTAATTCCAAAAAACATAAGCACCGAGGCCTGCCTCTGCACATTAGCTCTGCAAAGCATACCAATGCCTCTGCAGACAAGCGGCCAACACGCGTCCCCTTGTGGGAATAGCATCGGGGCTCCCTTTACTCCCCTCCAACTCCATTGTCTGAGCGGTCATTTACAGCCCTCTCTGGTTGTCCTATAAGGGCCGATAAATCTGGCATTAACAGACCTGCATGCTAGGTTCCATTTGCCTCCCAGGCAGCAGCAGCCCGCAGGCCCGGAAGCCCTGCTAAAGGACCTACCTCTGAGCATGAGGGGGAGCACCTTTTGTAAGAAGAGCCAATGGACAGAATCATCCTCACGCTGTTTCTTTTAAATGGGCTTCTAGAACTCAGGGAAAACAAGGCAAAAGGGCCTTGGGCAGGGGCACCTTGGATTGGGGCGCATCTTCCCTCTCCCTTTCTGGCCCAAGGCTGTCCCATTGAAGATGGCCCAGTGCCCTGGGGCTCCTGTTTTATCTCTACACTGAGGAGGAACAGTTTTCTGAGAATCCTGTGGTAGGCAGTCAGCTAGAGGATGTCTCCGGAAGAACCCTGGCCTGCTAGGAGCTGCCAATACCAGCATCCTTTTCTTCGTGTTTCCAGTGGGACCAGGTTCTCCGGATAGTAAAAAAAGGAAAGGACAAATCGTTTGTAGAACAAAGTATGCCTCGAGTCTCTGGAGGGGAAGACACTGTTTGTGACCGCTCTTCTGACAGCTGCGTTCTTACACAGGGTAATTGAGTTTCTCTCCTATTCAATCAGGTCGCTTCCTTAAAAATAGTGATTAAAATAGATTTACTGGAGGGCAGGATGACATTTATATGGACTAGAGGCATTTTCTTGTTCATTTTGTTTGGGGAGTAACCTTTCGGAAAGGGTAGATTTAATTTAGGGAACACTTCATTAAGCGGGAACTGATCACGGGAAGGAATATTTTGCAGTGAAAAATGCCATTCCCACAGAAGGGCGTGCTCCGCCCTACAAAATCTGACAGTTTGGGGAATTGAGGATTTGGGGGGTGGAGCAAGCTTCCTTGAGTTGGTGGTTCTTGGATTTCTTTTCTTTTCTTACTTGCTGGTTTTGCCTGTTTTGATTTTGAATAATCAGTGGTGCTGCAGTGACGCCTTTCCAACTGCTGGGAACTTTTGATAAAGTATCCATGATTAGGGTCACAGATGGACACTTGCAGGGCCTGTGCTTGCTGAGTATGTTCTAAGGGTGACTGGACTTCTCTGCTTTTCACACCCCCCCCCCCCAGTCATTAGAACTATTTGGAGATCTGTAAAGATTTGTTGTAGGCTGGGACTCTGAGGAAGATTCCAAAGTCCAACAGAAAACTTCAGGGAAGAACATCAACTGGATTACCTGAGACCTTTCCAGGGGAAACACAAGCAGTGTGTGTCAGCTGTGTCTTTTCTTCTGGTACCTCCCCATGCTAGGAGAGCACAAAGGTGCTTTTCGGTGACATTTGGGTTGTCTTTAGCAAGTTCTTTTGCATGATGAGGTTTTCCTTATATTTTCTCTTCCTGCCCTGTTTTTGGAGGAGCTTTCCACAGATTCCTCCCTGCCACTAAATTCCAAAGAGACAGTCTAAGGCAGGTTCTCAGATATCTTTCTCTCTGATCTCCCAGCTGCTGCCCAGGTACCCAGAGCGAGTCCACTGCCCTATAACATGGCACCAAGCCCAGGAATGTGAGGTCTTCAGAACCCCACTCTCCATCAGCTGAGAGCTGCCTTAAAGCGTGTGCAATATATTAACATCACCCCTGTTTTAGCGAAGTATTTCCCGGACTGGGACAACTCTTCTAGTACATTCAGAACGTGATGGATTTTCTAACAAAACACTCGGTTACATATATGGAATCCGGGGTTGTAAAGCATTTAGAGGTCAGAATCATCCTGGACAGAAGCTTTTCTATTTCTCTGTGAATTAAAGTATATTAGAAAAATGAATCTATTGCTCAGGGTATGTTTTAACAAAAGATTTTAGGCAAAAGTTACAATTTTTCCTATCATTTGAATTTACAGAGAATTAAAAATAAAGATCTCAGAGCAGGAGAGATCTTCCTATGTGTTACATGCAGGAGGCTAAATTGTGGGATTTTTATGAAGGGCAATTTGCCAGCGTAGATCAGGAACATTAAATATGTTAGCACCCTCTGACCTAGTAATTCTATTTCCAGGAATCTATTCTAAGCAAGTAATCCAGCACAGAGAGCTATTTCCCATGGATTGTTTTATTTAAGCGTTACCTACAATCATGAAGAAAAGAAACAGGAAAATACAAAATGCTCCAAATAGGAGAATGATTAGGTCAAATGCTGTAGGTGTGTATTAGGTTACATTCATAAAGAAATGTTAATGATACCAAGAAAATGCTTATTGACAAGTGAAAGGGAAAATGCAGAACTTAAACTCTCCAAATATTGTGAATTAAACTCTATAAACCATATAGGCATAGAAGATGCCGAGAGCTCGTGCCCGAGTGTTTATTACTGACAATTCTCTGATGCTGAAATTATAGGCCATTTTTTTTCCTTTTTATACTTTTTCCTTCTTTCTTTTTACATTCATATAAAAGAATTTTAAAAGTATTCTAAATAGTACTCATGCATTGGCTTAAATTGTGTGTGTGTGTGTGTATAGATTAAGACCTTTTTTTTGAAAAATAAATGTCTAGCAAGAAAGATGGGACAAAGAAAGAGCTGGGCGAAGTTCACATTTTTCAAACCAACTTGTGCTTCTAAAATAAAATCCTGCCTCTCCACACACTAGGTTCCTGGAAGCTGACCAAAATCTGCTCAGTAATATTAATTCCACTTAAAAAAGGGAAGGGAGCATATTGAGCTACACGCACTTACGGTCTGGGTGCTTGGAGAGAATCAGTTGGTGAGTACCAAAGTGATGTCGGCGTGTTTCTATTTGCATTTTGAAAATTGACAGATAATTGAAAGGGACCAGGGAAGGAAATTTCTCAAAGGAAGCCCACCAAGAATGCAGCAGAGCCCTGCCTGTGGAGGCGCCCAGGTGGCCCTAGGATGGATGCAGAAAGATCTAGAACTGCATGCTGCTGGGTTACGTGTGGGTTGCCCATCTGCTTTCTGGGACTGGGAAGACCTCCACCTTGTCCTGCAGCTAGGGCACAGTGCCCTAGATTCAAAACTGCCTTATTTTCTACAATGACAGTTTCTACAAAATTACTGACGTCTTACACGCAGGAAATCATCAAGACAGTGATCCACTGTGGTGCCTTTCAAAGTGCCCACAGGAAACAATCATGACAGACATTTAAAAATTAATTTATTAGCTTTTGGATTAGAAACGTAAACAGCAATGCTGACGTTACCCCCAGCAAATTCTTCATGTGCATATTTTGGATAATCGTGGTGACTGAACTGTGGTTTAAAGGTTGCAAGTGCACCCAAAATATGTACACTGAGCAGAGTCATGGAGAAGTATAAAAGGTGGATTTGTCTCTAATTTTTCAAAAAAGGGGGAGGCAATAAAGATACCTTGTGGAGAGAGGGGGAAAAGAAGGAACAAGGCGGAGAAAGAGGGGAGTGAGAAGATGGGGCAGAGAGAAAAGAAAAATTAAAAGAAACCCCGGTAACAATGCCATGCCCTTAGGGCTGGCACTGCATAAGTCGAGAAGAAAACTCGGATGTGAAGGTATAAATCTGAATTTGCCACCTCGCTGTCCCCTCGGGGCAGGGGTGAGGGTGCTGCGAAACTGAATTTATCTGAGAACATTGGTTTCATGTCTGTGTTCGTTAGATTCCAGCTTTCCACAAAATGTATTTATTTAACAAATGCCACCCAAAACAGCTTGGTAGCAGATGAGGTTTATTTAATGGCAGTAAAACAGGTGAAACATTCCCTACATTTTTCGCCTCTGTTTATGTTTCTATCAAAAGGATTAAAAAAAAAATCAGAGCTACTTACAGCTCTTTATGCTCTCAGTCATGGCAAGGATTGGAAAACATAGCCCAGATTTTTGCTTAGTAACTGGCTTTGAAAATACAAATCTCTGTATTTTCTCAAAAGCAATTTACGATTTTTCTGCCGAGAGGACAGGATCATCCAATATGGACTTGCCTTCATTTTATTTGCATTTTCTTTCTTTATTCTGAAGGCTTTCTTTTCAGGAGTTGCAGTCTCAACCTGGCTGGGTGCTAAGCTTCTCCAGGTCTGTGCTTTCTCCTGTCTTAGCTTTCCTAGGCTTCCAGTGCCCTGTCGGAGAGGGAGAGAGAGCGCCAGCGTCTTCCTGGGCCCTTTCATCTGTAACCTTTCTCCAAGTGAATGCTAATTGAAAAAGAAAGAACACCACTAATCTTGGAATTTAAATGCATTTAACAAAACCAATCTCACTCTAAATTGTTGTTCCGCCATTCCACTTTCCCTAACAGATGTCGAGAAACTGCAATTCCTATTAAGAGCATTTGACTGTTTACTCGGCACGGAACTTCAGCCCCAGCCTGCATCAATCTAAATGCGTTTCGAGACGTCAGGCCCCCGAAAAGTGCAGACGGTTAGTCGGTTATTTTTAAATGTAATCTTCACATAAAAGAATCGTAGCATTTTTCCTCTCACTTTGTCATCCCTTCTCCTCCTTAACGATGGCATGGAGGATAAGAAGAAGAGGGGATTTTTATGACCCGTTTCATGGAAGATGTTTTTGGCGGGGGGAGCCGCTCCTGGCTTTGTGGTGTGCCCAGAGGAATTATGAGTTGAGTTTATTAAGTTGATCAGGAGAGAGTGCGCTGTCCAGTGCTCTAGCCAAATGCAAGAAAGCTGGACGGGAGCCGGGAGCTGTGGATGCCTCTGCTGGGCAGGGAGCAGGAGACAACGGGGCTGAGGCAAAGGACTCCCGGGCTGGGTTCCCAACCCTGCACGATCTGACTGAGATGAACTCTGTGTCCACATCTGAACCTGGACACCCCTGCATGCGGTTGGCCTGCACCTCGGGGCCTCGCCTCCTGCTTGCCATTTGTTTAGAAGCACTCAGCACAGAGCATACTGTACCAGGGTGCAGGGCCCTGTCAGCTTACCCGTGTCGGGCTGCACGCCTTGGAAAGATGTGTGTTCAGAAATCTCTGCATCCTAATTTGTTTTTCTTTTCCAGTTCTTTGTCCCACTTACTAACTTCTTAAGGATGAGAGGAGAGAAAATGTATAGATGAGATAGGAACCAGCAGCTTGAACTGGCAAAAGATGCCAGGTGGGGTGCCCAGTGGGGACTTGTGCATACATGGGGCACTTGGTGACATGCTGGCACAATAAACACACTACATGATCACATCCTCTCTGCACAGCATGTGGGTGTCTCTGCATTTGACCCATTTTCTAGATCACAAAACTGAGACTCAGAAAGACTGACCTGATGCCAAACCCAGTGTGTTAAAGAGACCAGGCAGACCTGAAGGTAGACCTGCCAATCCATGTAGACTTCTGGTGAGTTCCCTTTTCCATCCTTTAAAAAAAATCTTTTAGGGCTACTTAAGTATATACGAGGTCTTTCCCTGCCTGGGAAGCATCTAGAGGACAGGAGCTTGCCCTGGTTCTGGTTTATGTGGTCCCAGGACTCTTGTGCTCTGGTGACCTGTGCACTAGTGGCTGAGCAATGAACTATGGGATTGCAGAGGGTGCTGTGGTGACAGCGGCAACCTCGGTGCCTCATGGATGTGATGTTCCACCACATGCTACTCTTGCTAGCTTGGAATATAAAAAATTCCCCATTCAAGGGCTATCTGTGTCCTGGGCCCTAAGCTGGACGGTCGGTGTGCTTCAGCGGGAAAATCGATTTCCCTCGTGTCTGAATCCACTTCTGCGCTTTGGATTCCAGCTGTGTTTCTGTCTTTGGGTGAGAACAGAGTGAAGCGTGGAGACAGCAGAGCAGCCTGGGCCAGGCCTGGATGCTGGAATCAGGCGGGCCCGGTTCTGGACTAACCTCTCAAGCAGCTTCAGGAAAATGATCTCCAGTGCCTGAAGGTAGCAGTTGCCCTCTGGGACAGGGTGGTGTCTTGTCCTGAAAATGTGGAAGGAGTTCTGCTCTAACCTAAAAGAAGTCACACGCTGGGGACAGCCAAGCAGTTGAGCTCCCCTTGTGGCTCGCTGAGCTTGCTCATTCTCTGACTGTCTCTGTCTCTGTCTCTGTCTCTGTCTCTGTCTCTGTCTCTGTCTGTCTCTGTCTCTGTCTCTGTCTCTCTCTCTCTCTCTCTGTCTCTCTCTCTCTCTCTCTGTCTCTGATTTGTTTCGGCTTCCCTTTGTCTCTCTGTGGGTTTCCGGCCTCCCTCCCTTCCACCTGCTTGTTCCTGGCCCTGGCTCCTCTTCTCTTCCTTCCTCCTGCCTTTGTCTTCCTGCCTTTCCCGTCTCTCTTTTCCCTTCCATTGTTTGAAAATCCACCCCATGCTCTTCTCCTAGTGAGGAGGAGCCAGGAAGCAGCATTTCATAGCGGGATGAAGGCAGCATTTTGTGTGTCCGGGAGGACCAGGACCTCTCCTGAGGATGCCAGGCTGAGGCCAGTGTAGCTTGGAGCCTCCATCTAGGGCAGAGTGCCAGCTGGGTTCACATGCTCAAGTGAGCTTCTGCACTGCGCTGAGTGTTCTAAGTGAGACGCCCAGCCCAAGTCTACCTGGGAACGCCGACGGAGGGTCCCAGCTAGGCCGGGCTCTGCTCTGTGTGTGCAGGACCTCTGGGTGACTTCTATCCTTTGAGCTTCGTGACAGTACAAGGCACAGGAAGTCGGAGATTTAGAATCCTAACACAGTTTAGACTAATCCTTCCTTTCACGCAGGAAGAAACTGAATCTCTCAGAGTTCGAGAAACTTTTGCAGACTCACAGGAAAAAAAAAAATAAAAGCAAGTAAAAGTGGAGAAAAGGAAAATCCAAATCCACACCAACCTTTTAATCTCCCTATACAGGATATTTCATACAAAGGCAAGAAGGCAGAGGATCAGACCAGAGGAGAAGGAAAAAGAAAGCAGAACCGAGGTCCTAGGGGAGGGCCTTTCCAGGTAATCCACACACTAAAATGGGAATTAAAAGACCATTATGATCCCAGCACTCTGGAGGCTGAGGCAGGAGGATGGCAAATTCACCCTGGGCAACTTAACAATTTCGTGACATCCTAACTCAAATAACTGGCTGGGGCTGTATTTCAGTGGGAAGGTTCTGGCTTCAGCAATCTCTGGTACAACCACCACCATCATCACCATCAAAAAAAGAAAAAAACAATGAAAGACATTTCCAGCCACAATTTCTTTTATTTTCCCAACAGCAATTCACAGCTAAACCCTGTCTCAAAAAAAAAAAAAAATCCTGATTTAAATTTAACCCACATCTGAGGGTCCCTGTCTCATATTCAGGGATTTCTAAGCCCCGAGGGGTTCTCTTCACCAATCATCATTTGAGTTTTCCATCACTGGGCTTAGCCATGAACACTAAAATGATAGGTGCTTTTCTGAAATTCTGTCGATTGACTTTTTTACCTATTTCTGTGCTTCTCCTTGGTAATGAATCTGAACTTGAGCTTTCTCATCCATCTGTGGGAATTAGGAAGCCGGCATCACGGAAGCAACAGGGGCTAAGCTGTAGGAGTGTGGGTGGAAAGGCATCTCTGCACTGCAGGAGAGGGCGCCCCGGGAGGGAGGCGCTGGTGGGCACCTGCCATTCTTCAGTGCGGAGCTGCATCCTGAAGGTGGGTGAGCAGAGCAGAGAAAGGAGGATGAAAGCCTCTTCCCACATCTGTAATTTCCTTCTCGTCATACAGCAGACTCAAACTGAGCCCCCCACTAACACCCAGTCAGAGTGCTTGAGAAAACAACACAGAAACTATTACCAGTGGGCTCAGAAACAAGCAGGGTTTTAATGAGGCAAACACAATGCCTGGTGGAGCCAGTTTGAGTCCCTAGGCGGCTGACGTTCCCATGCGGCCCCAGCCCATCCTCGTGCACAGGAGCAAGGATGAGCGATGGAGGACGACGGGGCGATGCTCGGGGAAATGCACACGGGGTCTACCGGGGCCACAGAGCTGAGGACCAGGGATGGGAGGGGAGTTGGTTACAGGAGTTTAGATGAGTCCACGTGTCCGGCACCCAGCAGAGAATGAAGACAGGAATCTGCTGCCAGGGTGAGGCCTTCTTCAGGGTTGGGTATGGTGATTACAGATGAGCCTGCTTCACTGTGTGATGGTCCAGGAGCCTGGTCCCTTGGCCAGAATGTTCAGAGTCATTGCAAGCACACTGGCTTTCATATGAACAAAGCCAAATGGAGAACCAGGGTTGTTGGGATCCTGCCCTTGCTTTTCCCTTCCCTCGAGGGAGGTCATCCTCGGCTCTTGCCCTGGATTTGAAGGCGGCCACTGCGTAGTGTCTTTCCCTCTGTGCCTCTCCATCGCCGATTAGGTGATGTCTGGATACCTGCTCTACACACAGCGGCCACCCCTCGGAGTCCACTACACTCTGCCCCTGGCCCAGTGGCTCCCTTTGTGTGGGATCCGCAGGGTGGAGTGTCTTTGTCTGTTCTGACTTCCTCTTTCTCTAGTTGTCTGCTCCTCTGGCCCCTTCTTTTCTCCTGAGCCTCAGGGCTCCTGGTGATGAGAGAGGACAAGTGTCCCATCGCTGTTTTGTGCTGTGGGCATCATCGGGCATGCATGTGTGTCGCTGGACCACTGCATGCCCTGATGGAGGTGAAGTCATACCTGCCAGTACTGTTTTGGGTGCTGTGAGTCAAAGTGGGTCTCTGGCTCGGCTGCTTCCCAGAAGTCACCTTGGGCCAGTCATTTAAGTTCCAGGAACCCTTCAGGATGTTGTGAAGATCAGATGAGTTCCATGGTCGTACAGACCCAAGGCTTGGACCTTGTCAGTGGTCCTATAGGTCTAGCGATGACTTGAGCCAGAGGCCAGGGGCAGTCTAGGGAAGGACTCATGTTCAGAGAGGCAGAAAGAGCCCAAGCCAGGCCAGCTTCATGATAGGGACTCAGACATGACCCCTAGCTCTGTGACTCTCTGTGACATTGAACAGGGGAGACACACACACACACACACACACACACACACACACACACACACATATAGAGGAATGGAGAGAGAAGAAGAGCCAGCCTATTTCCAAATCTGAGCAGATTTCCAATTAGGATAACATTCAGCCATTCTTCGGAGGGGATATAAGAAAGGAGTTGCTCGTCTCCACGCCTGCTCAGAAGCACACGGTGGCAGAAGGTAATCAAGCCGCCTTGAACCTCTGCAAAGGCTTGGCTCCCAGTCTGGCACGAGCTATCTTTGTTTCCCTATCTTTTCCTGAAGCCTTTAGCAATTGCTAACAATCCTATTTACTCTGTGTACCAGACAAACACAGTTACCGTTGCCATCTCTCTATTTTTATCTAATATTGAAATTTCTCTCCCTAAGAGCAGCCCTGAATATATTATGATATCTCCTGAATAAATGATGTGCATAATATACTGTGCAGAGAGATGGTATTTATGAAGCTCGGGACTAACTGAAATGAAGGAATCATTCAGTTCTCCTTTGAAAGGAAATTCAGTTGGAAAAATTTTCAAGAAAGTGAAGACTTTAAAAAAAAAGCTCCATGCAAACTTTTGGATTCAAGGCCAATTTCTCCCTCCCCCTTGGCAGGACAGACTGCCCTGCCATTTCTACCATATTTTCTCTGCAGAAATTGAGATTGTCTCCCTGTTCCAATGTGAGGCATGTTCTATTAGTAGCATCATCGCTGTCATTTTTAAGTATAATGATATGTCAAGCACATTTAATAGTGTTTGAGACACTACAAATCATTTTCTCCAAATGTTTCTGAGTCACAGGGGTCTAAGCTTTCCCACTTTGCAGAGGAGAAAGCTCTGCTACATGAGCAGCACTGAGAAACAAACTGCTGATTCTTCAAAGGCTTTGCCAGTTGTATTAAGCGCTTAATGTTTACCGTGTAATTGTGTTCTGCCCTTGATACTTACGTAGAGTAGCCACAGCAATGGCGGTAGTGATGTGAACCTAACTGTTTTCTACTTATTGTAATGGTTTACAAAGCTTCCTAAGAACCTCGTGCTCTCCAAACATGCACTGGGGAACTGAGTCCAAGACGAAGAGCAGACCAGTTGTGCAAGGTCTCACGAGGGACAAATGTGGAACTAGGGTTCAGTGTAGGACTTGTACCTCTCTGATCCCGAGTCTGGTGAGGGGTGCTCATAGCGCGCTGCTGCTCGCCTGTCCTCCTGGGAGCTTGAGCCCTGCACATCTGAATTTAGAAACACAGCCTAGCCACCTTCACTTTCATGCGATTCCAAGTCAGAAGTCAAGTCCTCCTTTCTGCGTGTGTTTTCATCCTGTGAATTTGGCTCCACCTTCTCTTTCTTCTTTGAGATAGAAAACAGAATCCTAGGGCTGGAAGAGTTGAAACCATAACAACAAAACAACAGATCCTCAGAGGTTTTCTCAACAAATCTCTTCACTTTGCAACCAAGGAAATCAGTTTTGCAGAGGAGAATCAGGAAAGTGAAACAATTTCTAGAACTACCACAGCAACAAAGTGACAAACCAAAAACCAAGATTGAGACTTGGTCTCTTCTTTTATTTAATATGCCCTCCTCATTTTGGCACAAGGCTGTTTCTCAGTGAGACTTCAGCCTGTTAAGATACTCCCAGGCCTCTGTCCACCTGCTGGATCTATCATCCTTCCCAGACTCCAGTTCTAGTCCTTGTAAGGCAGTCCTTAAAGGGTTAACAAATTTGAGCAAAACCCCTCTTGTTTTGAGAGTCTTCCAGGGCCTGCTGATAAGCACACTCAAGGCTACATCTCCCAAGGGCAGGGTCTTTTGTGTGTTTTTATGGTTAATCTTGAGTATCCAACTTGATTGGATGGGAAAATAACTGTCTATGAGAGTGTTTCCAAACATGATTGGCACATGTGACAGCAAATTGAGGGAGGAGACTTGCCTTAAATGGGTTAGAATTATCCAATAGGCTTCAAGCACAATAAAACAAAAGCAGGAAGAGAAAGCCATTCTGCATAGCCCCTCCCCTGCTCCCTCCATGCCCTTCCGCCATGACGGCCCTTCTGCCATGATGTTTTTGCCACCACGTAGACCTACAGTAATGGATTTAGCCAACTGTGGACTGAAACAGGCAAGCACAAGTGGATGAATATAAAGAAGGTCAAATAAGTCAGGCAATTTCATCTTTCAAAAGTTTCTTATGGTAGAGTTTGTTGATGTATTTGAAGGGTTAATGTGCATGAGAAATAGCCATAGGAACACAATAGGAAGTAGTTGTCAATTTATTTGTCTATAGATCCACTTATTTGTAAAGACTGTCTTGAGTGGCTAAGGATCTACAGTTCATACTACAGATAATGACATTTTGGGCAAGGGGTCAACATTTTATTGTCTGCAGCCCAAATCCATTTTGCAGATGCAATTTTATTGCAAATACAGACATGCTTTTTGCTGTATTATCTGGCTACTTTTATATCGTAATAGCAGAAATAAGGAGCTGCCACAGAAAATATTTAGCCTACAATTTCAAAATTATTTGCTGTGTTCCTTTAGAGCAAAGGCAAATAGCCCATTAGAGGATAGTACAATGGGCTCCTTCTTACTTTTTATAATAATCTTAAAGTCTCTTTATTGACTACAAATATTGGATCCAAAATACCCCCGCAATGGGATAAAGTGTCTAGCCATTGAGATAGACAGGTGCTGAGATACATTTCTGGAGTTGTGAATTAGAATTTGTCTGGCTTTCTTTCACAGATTGCTTTTCAGCAACTGTGCTGTTTGTAATCCCTGAGATCATAGAAATAGAGAGTTCAGGGTTAGAGTGATTAAACCAGCTGGGTCATAGCCTCATCCACTGGGGGCCAGGTGGACAACAGTGGGATGCAGCTGATGTTCTCCATTGCCAGCTCTACCCGAATTGAAGGCCCCTTCTGAGTTTCCTGGTGAAGAGGAGCAGCCGCTGAGCCTCCATCTCTGTCTTCCAGGGGCTGCCACAGACCTTCGGAACTTCCCGTTTGCCATACCCTTAAATTTATCCTTACACTCATTAATATTTTTTCTTTTGTTGCAGATTGGTTTCTAGTGAACTGAATATTAAAAAGATATTACAGAGAGAAACAATGCGCCTGGCTGATTGTTTCTTCCCCAAATGGATACCATGATGAGCGAACACTGTCATTTATATTAACAATCAGTTGAAAGGCCTGGGCTACATGTGAGAATTCATATTTGCTGATAACCTGATTGTAATCATCAATAACAATATTTTTATTCTGGGTAATAAACATCATTATCCAGTGTGTTGTAGGTGAGTGGACCCTCCATGGATGGGTGGGGAGGGGAGAAGGGGATGATCAGAAAGATCAAGGGGTGTGCTCAGGAAAGGAAGAGAGGTCACTCTGCACATTTAAGGGTGAGGTCATCGTGTTTGCCCAGACCCTGTGGCGTGGACCAGGAAGGCTTTTGATTCACAGCACCTGTGAATGAAATGTAGCAGAGCAGAACAATGCCCTTCACTCTCCAAGTGCACGTAGAGGAGCGAAGGTGCCCTGCACTGCCCGAGGCGAGCCTATGGTCTGCTGGATGAGGACACCTGTGGACAGGCCGTGCAGCCCACATGGCCAGTGTCAGTGCCAAGAAGGTGAGTTTCTATGGGGCTCTTCCAATACAGCCGTTCTATGGTCCTGTAAGTCTGATTACATTCATTTGTTCCATCTTCCAGTTTTTTAAAAATTTCCCCTTTTGCTATTTTGTATTATTTTATCCATGTGTGCCATATCTTCAGGATCTCTGTAGCCTTGAACCCACAGGTTGCTGAATTTGTATCCCTGTTCACATTTAGCACCCACAACCAAGGACAGAGCATACTGTCCTTTTATACCCCAAAGCGGACTCTTTATTTTTAAATGTGATTTTTTTCTATTTTTTTTGAGACAGGGTCTCTCAACGCATTTCAGGCTGGCCTTGAGCTCACGCTGTAGTGCAGGCTGGTCTTGAACTCACAGCAATCCTCCTGCCTCAGCCCCCTGAGGGCTGAGATTATAGGTGCGCTAATTTTAAATGTGAATTTTGAATAAAATAATTTTTTAAACTCTAGAGAAGATTATCTTCTAAAAAGCAAGGGAAGAAAAAGATGTAGAGATCAAAGAAGAATTAACCTCTAAAAAGATTCTGAAAGAGGTAAATCTACCCTGGAGCATAGAGGGCAGCACAGAAAGGCATGGATTCAAAACTTGCCACTATAAGTTGCGCATTCCTAGAAAACACATTATACCTTTTTGTGACTGAGTTTACTCCTCTGCAAAACAGGGATGGCAATATTTAACTGGGAGGATAACACCTTTAAGGTTAACAATGCCAAATACAAAGTTCACAGAGGTAGGATGTGTAGGGTAGATCAGTCAATATTTGACCCACAGTGTGAGGTGGGGGAAGATTTGTAAGCATGACCTTGTGAAGATACAAAGATCACACTTGGCAGAAAGTTAACAGTTTGTGTAGTTCCTAAGTTACAGATTTACTGATCAAAAAAAGTAACATTCATCCTGCAGAAGAAACACATTGTTGATAAATGATCATGCATTTTGGGATTCATGGCAAATATATTTCAAATAAAAATGTGTCACTGAGATCATTGAAGAAATGTGGTTTTGCCTGTCTTCATGTTTTTTTGTTCCATGATGCCTCCTATGCTGTTTGTCACCTAGATCTTTGTCATTTCTTGGGAACAATGGGCCTACACCTCAACTGTTCACCATGAGCTCCTGAGATATCAATTTGTCTCCATGCAAAAGCAGCTTTTGGACTTGGGGATTTTCTCTTAGTCACTTTAAATCTTCTAAAGAATAATGTTCATAATTTTGTATGTTTGTCAGTTTGGCGAGGTCAGTGTTACGGTTTGTGTCTGGATGGCCCCCTAAACCTAATGCAATCATGTAGGCAGCTGAACCTAGTGTTTGTGATTGGTTTGTTGTCTAGAGCTGGAATTGGCAGAGTGAGTGCTGTACCTGCCCACGGGTGGGTAACCAGCATACAATATGGGGGAGGGAAGGAGATGTGCTTTTCCCTCTTTGGCCCTTTCAGTTTTGTTGCTTGTGGTTGGCATGAATGGCTGCCCCTTAACCATGCAACCCTGCACTGTAAGCTGAATAAACCTTTTCTTTCTTTATTTTTGCAATCAGGTATTTTTTCTCTAAAATGAGAAGAAAATAAACAAGACAGTTAAGGTACCCAAAATGTTCGGTTCAATATTAATCTGGATGTTTCTAGGAAGATGCTTTTTTGTGGAGGTGAGGGGGGCAAATTAACATTTATATTAGGGGACTTGAAATAAATACCTTCCTCCATGCACATGGCCCTTGTTTAATCAGTTACAGTCTTAAATAATAGAGCAGACTGACCTTTCCTGACACAGACGGATTCTAAAGCATTCTACCTTCAGACCTGCGCTGCAGCATGGGCTCTGCCCTAGTCCTCTGGTCTGCCATCCCATCCTGCAGACTTTAGGCATATGCACTCCAGGATAGACACAGAGCAGACTGACTGACTGGCTGACTCTCTTTCTTCATTCAGAAACCCAACCGATGCAAACTCCAGAAGTCTCTCTGACAAAACAGAGTGGATAGAGAGGAGCAATGAAGCTGCAACTGATTTCTCTTTATTTAAGTTTTATCCCCTTGGGTAAGGATCGTCTGAAATTTGCCAAACACTTTGTGGTTTAGGGAAAAATTAGAATCTGGAGAAAAAGTGAATAAAAGAGAACAGTTATAAAATAACTTCTCTGGTCCTAGGTGTTTCCATTCCTATGACAGTACCTGAATGTATCTGCTAAGTGGAATTGGGCTGCCTGGTGCAGACACAAGTATTTTGTCGGAGTGGAGGGTACTTTGGGTTTTGGTTTTGTGACTTTTTATTAGAAATTTTTAATTATTTTATTTAATTAATTTTATTGGTGCCATTTAGATATATATATATATATAATGATCATATTCATCACGGGGAGTTCGTACTTTTGTGTGATGTATCGTGATTCCTTTCTTCCGCAATCACTTTCCCTTCCTTCAACCCCCTTTCCCCTCTCTATTTATAAAGCTTTTCCCCCTTTTATTACTCTTTTATAGTTTTTTCTTTTTCCTTAAAAATTTCTCCCTATTTTGTACATTTTGGTCCTTATTTACTCTTTAAGTTTCTCACACTAGGGAAACAATGCAATGTTTACATATGTGTGCCTGATTTATTTCACGTAAGAGCATGTTCTTGAGATGCATCTATTTGTCCAGAAATGTCTCATTTATTCTTTTCTATGGCTAAATAGTACTCTATCATGTGTTTAAAAAAATCAGATCTTTTTTGTCCATTCTTCAGTTGATGGGCATTTGGGATCTTCCAAGATTCTGGGCATCTTAGATGAATATACACTTCTCAGATGAAGAAATACAAATGGCAAACAAATATATGGAAAATGTCCACATTACTGTCCATTTGAGAGATGCAAATTAAAACAACACTGAGATTTCATCTCACTCTAAAAAACTACTATTATCAAGAAATCAACAAATGCTGGAAGGGCTGTGGGGAAAAAGGAGTCCTTCTCCACTGTTGGTGGGATTGTACACTGGTGCAGCCACTGTGGAAATCAGTGTGGAAGTTTCTCAAAAAACTAGGATTAGAGGTCCCATTTGACCCGCTATTCTCATATCTGTGTTATTCATTCTTGAAAAAAAAAAAAAGAGTAGGCTTCTCAGTGGTCCCTGGACCTCTGAAAAGTGAGTTCTTGAGACCAGTCTGTTGAAATTAAAAACACTGATAGCCATTATTGACATAACAGGAAAAATGATTTTTTTTCTCTTTTTTCAGAATCAAGATTTTGTATTTTCCTTTTGAACAACTAGAATCTGCCATTTCTCTGCATTTATCCTGCAAAATGAAAGGGTATTTGCTATACCACTGATAATCATAGCACCTTTGGTCTTAAAAACACATTCACTAGTACACTTTCTATTCATGTGCTCTTAGCTCACTCTAGAAAAGATTAGCAATTTTTGGTTGGAGGAATTAATGCCCAGAGCTTGGCATCAGCTGACTTCTTCACAGTCAGGTGGCTGGAGAGGGTCAAATACAGAAAAGGGCACCATGTTTGTGTGCTGTGATGCAACAACAAGCTGTGCCTACTGTGTACCCACTTAATAACGACACCGGTGATGCCCTTCTCCACCTGAAAAGTGAAATCCAGCTTGGAGAGACTGCGGTAAGGTAAGGCCATGGCTCACCTTAGGAGTCGAGGGCTCCAGAGGACCGCAGTGCGTGGAATCAGAGAAGGCATCTTCTGTTTGGCCTGGCCTCTGTCTGACCTGTACTGACTATGAGATCTTGCCTGGCTTGCTGCTTCTTTCTGGTTTCAGTTTCTTCATCTGCAGGCAAAAAGAGCCCAACGGCAGTGTAAGGATGATATTAAACGAGGAGACATTTGCAAATATAAGGGAATTACAGTCCACCATGTAATAGGTACATTGTAAGGGCCTTACTTCTCTCCTCCCTGGAGTGAGCTGACTTCGCTTCACCATTGCTGGACACATCTGGAAATGGAGACGGAGGCTGTAGAATATGGGAAGACGGCCTGGTGTGTTATCTGCCCTTTGCACACACAACTGGACTGCGATATTTGCTTGGAGCCATATTGCACTGCGTGTCTTTTCTGTGGGCCCTCCTGCTCTTCCCTCTCTGGCCTGGTGAAGAAAAGCATCGTGAGTCGGAAAGTCCCCCTTAAACAAGAATAAACTTCAGTTATGCTCAGTCGCTGGCAGTTGGAATTTCTCTTTTTATTTTTGCCTTATCAAGCATTTGTTCACTTGGTATAGTTGATTGACTTTGCAAGAGCTCACCTGCTTAGATAGACCCATGTCTACACACACACACACACACACACGCATCAGGCATTCACAAACAGCCCTTCCCCCAGAAATTTAGCATTTTGAGGGCATCATGAACATTTTATTGACTTAATATTTGAATTTTCTTCAGATTCTCAATGTCTGCTTATACAACGTATAATATCAAGGATTTAACAGTTTGTGTTTAGAAAGACTTTCAGAGACGGATTGAGAATCGGCTTCTAGAGCTGTCCTTCTCCCTTTGCATTGTCACTTTCCCTTGGTTTCGGTTATCCATCGACAGCTGCTGTCTGAAAATACTAATGTTTTTCTGGACTCATTCAAGTAACAGTGACCACATTCAAATAGCTTTTTATGGTAGATGGCTGTGGTTACTGTGATGTTAGGTACTGGTAATCTCTTTTTTATAGGTATTTGTACAAAGGGATAAAAAAAAAAACACCAATCTGTTATAGGCTTTGGTGCAGCCTGCAGGTTCAGGGGTCTTGGGGGGTCCCGAACTTAGCCCTGTGTACAAAAAGACTACAACAGAGGTGTCTCAAAGCTAATCGCCTCCTCAGACATTTCCTGTGGCACAGTGCCCGCTGTCTCCCATGCAAACCCGTGGTCAGAGGGTCCTCAGTGTCACTGCATTGGGTTGCAGATCAGGTTGGGCATTTATGCCCCACTAGTGGGTCCTCATGATGCCATCCTCTGAGGAAGCCAGAAGCCAGCTGATTGGTTTTCCCTGGGAGATCCTCTTCGGTATGTGGAAGCACAACTATTTGTGCTATTCACTTTGTTTAGCAAATGTACATTTATCTCTGGGTGATCAGTATATCAAGGAATAGTTTCAGTATTATGCAAATTTTGCATTTGTTTGCATGCAGTTTCCTTCATGACAGATTCTCAGTGAAAGCATAACGCTGCCCTCAGGGTCACCAGGAATATTCACTGTGTCCTCCTGTGTCACTGTTCCCTGCGAATAACACACAAGCTTCAGCTCTTCCATGTCCTCCACACAGGCAAGCTATGGGACATTTTCTAGGCACAGGGCCATGTTTCATGTAGTATAAATCTCTTAGCTACTTGTGTGAAAACTGTACTTTTTATACTAGTTTTTAAAAATATATACCAATGATAATGTTTTTAAATGTTACATCTAAGTTTCTCCATAGTGCCTGTGAGGTTTTTTGCTGAGTTGCTCACACTGGACTTGAACTTGTGATCTTCCTGTCTCAGCCTCCTAAAGTGCTAGAATTATAGGCCCACACCACCACATCTGGTTTTCCCTAAGGCAGTGACTGTGAACCTTTTAGAGCTTTCAATGATGCCAGCATCCCATTACAGCACGCATGCCACAGGTTAAGCACCAGTACCTGCCTGGCATTATTCACGGCACTGTTTTGCCCAGCAGGTGATTTTCAGAAACATGCATTTCAAAAGATTCAGCTATAGAGCTTGTGCCTTCTCTGGTGTAGTGATGGGCTGGGGTGTATTTCCCATAAGTACATTTTTAACAAAATACATCAGCGATGAACAAACACATTGAGTCTCCACTGTCTTTGAGCTTACGATAGAAAACTTACCAGCCTCCCAGTTCCCCGAAGAGGGGGGACAAACTGGCACACAAAGAAAGGACCCACTTGCAATAGGAAGAGAATGAATTTGGGATGGGTCACCTGCACTAGGGTCTATGCCAGGCGATTTAGAAGCTTTAAATCAATTCCCACTAAACCCTTGGGCGGGCTTTCCTTCAGCTGTGATAGAAGTTTTAGCCTCTTCCCAAGAGCTAGGACCCAAACCTAATTGCCTTCTGACTTTTATTTCTGTGCCTTTTCCAATATACTACAATTTTATCCAGTTCACCCATTGCTTACTGAATTAGGCACCAACTGTGATCTTGATACTCAAGAGTCCTTGCATGAGTCCACAAAGTAGCTGGAGAGGTGAAAGTTGGAATTGCATATAAAAGTAGGTGGGATTTGCCTGACCAGTAAGGATAAAAGAGAAAAACAAGCACACAGATTATTAACACGTATTACTTGCTTTCAAACTCATTTGGAACTCACAAAGTTTGCATAATTCACACAATCACACAGTGGAACATTTGCACGATCAGTTCCCATGTGCAAGTGATGCACTGGAGTCTCCTGTCTGTGAAAATGCAAGGGTGACCTGTAAGCGACTTCTCCAGTGGGGCCTGAGAGATCATTACGGGCCGGAAATGGCCTTACCATGGAGTTGTAGTCATTTGGTGCCTGCGAGGAGACAAAAAGCTGGAACTGCAGCCAGAAAGGCAGTAAAAACAGACTATTCATCCTGTCTCTATGACTTGTATTCATCACTGCAGACAACCAGGTAATTCAATTATCTGTGGCCTTGGAAGTCCGTGTCATGTGGTTTATGCGTCCTTCCTCATTCCTCTGCGGCACTGTCAGGCCTGAGGGTGGTGGCCCTGGGCTGGCTGGAGGAGGGAGAGCCCGTGGGGTGCTTGGGTGGGTGGGGAGCTGTGAAGAAGCGTCTGTGTTATTTACTCTGAACGTGATGGCAATGATTTCATGGTCCAGAATGCACTGTTCCTTGGAGCCCCCAGTAAGAATAACATCACTCACTTTTATAGCAGAACATTTTACACAAACTCTTTTGTTGGTGGAGAAAAATGCCTCGTCTGACATGACCGCAGCAGAAATCTCCTTGTGTTCTTTTTTCTCTTACTCCTGATATGCTTGTGCCATCTCCGAGAGCGTATGAAATGTGTGGCATCAGGATGGTAATGAGATGGTAGACTTTGTCTAACATCAGAATTTCAATAAGGGTGGAATTTGCCTCGGAAAAAGGACAGTGATCTTTTCACAAACACTGTCCTTTGTCCTGAGGCACATGAAATCCCCAAATCCCTAAAATATTTCATCTGAAGATAAGATAATTTCGTTCTAGCCTAAGCTGAAAAAGACAGACGGGGGGAAAAGTCATCTATCAGATGCAGCCAGGAAAGTCTTGTTGCTTAGGGAGAAGGTAAATTAAAGGCTCCTATCTTATCTGTATTTCAATTAAAATCTTATTTTTGGTTCCCGGCAATGCAACGCATTGAAGTCTTTCCAAGTTAAAACATACACACACACACACACACACACACACACACACACACACACACACACACCATTTCAGTAGGTGGATGTTAAAAAAGTCTTTACGGGCATGTTCTACATATGATATGGGCTCCTTTTCATGTGGAGGAGAAGTGACATGAACAACATTTTGAAAGAGACGGGAAACTTACAAAGGCAGGAAGGGCAAGGGCTGAATTACTCTGGTGAATTCTTTCTGGCAGCCTTTGACTTTGTGGAGTCCTTTTGGAGTATCTACAACTTGATCCCCTACACTTAGAAAATCAAAGTTAATTGGGAAAGAAAAAGCCAGAGAAAAGAGGACCATCTGTCTCCTTATCAATACCCTTTTGGAATAGAGAGTTCAGGGTTGGGCTTCTTTTCACAAAGGTGGCGAAGAGAGAGAAGCCGGTATTCAAGTTTTAAGCATGTAACTCATGCAGGTTGTTTTTATGGAAAAAATTTTTGTGGAGCCCAGTGGGCGGGACCCAGGGCTTTGTGATCAATCATCTGCTAAAGGAGGATTCAAGCATTGGATCAGTCAATTAAAAATCACAGTGAAAAGTAGGGGGATATAAACTAGTTCCCAAGGCAAAAGTAAGGCAAAGCATGGATTTTTTTGTCTTTTGGTACTCGGAATCAAACTCAGGACCTTGCACTTGTGCTCCTGAGCTACATCCCCAATCCCAAAACATGGATTACAAGTGACAGTGAATGAGCACTATGTCCCCAGGTGCTATTGTTGAGGGTCAGATAGGGCAGGGAGTGTAGGACCATGTTCTGTAATCAAGGGAGCTGGTGTAGATTCTAATGGTAATACTGCCCCTGGTGACCAGGACAGAGGTCACTCCACTTCCTCTGCATAGGACTCAGATCTGGTCCGGCAGGTTTTGTGGCCATGTGGTCATAGGTGTTACAACAGCTCAAACCAGCCACTGTAGCACAGAATCAGTATTTATATTCTTATTAAAATACCTGGAAACAACTTTTAACTCACAGGCTATCCAAAAGCAGAGAGTGGCCAGATTTGCCTGGTGGCAGTTGTTTGCAAATGTTTATTAGGATGACGGCTCAGTATCACCACCAAGTAGTCAGACCCATAGATGAAAGAAGAGAGTCAGAGAACACAGGCTCGCAATGATGAGGGCACTTTGACTCAAAATGCTGTCAAGAGGCCACATCTCGATCTGTTGAGACAGTTCGATTGCATGGGAGAGGAAGGAGGCTGTGCGCCGTGTGCAGCTAGAAACAATTATTCAAGAGAGGGATGGGCCGAGCGTAATTAAACACGTTTCTTGTTTGCAGAGCTTCACATTAGTGGAACCAAGTAGGCATTATGTCTACCAGCACCTTGCAAATGAAGAAACTGAAGCCCAGCAAAAGTTAGCTAACTTGCCAGAGGGGCCCAGAGCTGACTACGGGTGCATGCAGTGAAAACCCAGGCATGTGGGTTGCAGGGGGAGATTGCAGTCCTGAGGTAAACAAGCATATATCTGAGTATCTGCAGCCGGCTGGGCTGAGCTCACAGCAAGCCTCTCCAGGGCAGGAGTGACCTTCCTGACCCCTCTTAGGCTCAGTTTCCATGCCTGTGAAATAGAACAACAATGGTCTGTTTCTCCCAGGATGAGACGGGGGAGTAAGGGAATGTATGGTCCTTAACTGGGGCCTGACAGGGATTGCCCAATCCTCCACTCACTGTGCATTGTGTCCTATGTCTTCTCAAACCCAGCCTAACATGGGGCTTTAACACCCTTTGCTTTGTGTGACCTTTCTGTCTTTGACTTCTTCAGTCCTTCTTAGCGACAGGATTTAG